TGTGGATCCTTCGTAGAGTGTGTTCTTTTGTTCTTTGCCTGGTTCATAAATCAGAAATGACTCACCCCATTGCGATCTGAGAGTCCTATGAGGGTCTATGTGTTTCCCCAGGAAATTAGTCAGGTCTCTCATCACGCTGCACCATGTCTTAGGGACCAGCTCCCAAATAGATAAGCGCATCAGCCACCCAGCAGGATGCTTTATTATTCTGGGGGGCAACACTCCCAGAAACTCTGTCTGGGCCTGAGCTGGGCCAGCCTGCGAGTCAGCAGTCAGGTTAGCACCTGTGTTTTGGCTCAGGTGGCAATTGCGTGACTCATGCAGCTTCTGCCTTCAGGTGAGAGAACGTGTTTGGCGTGTTCCATTCTCACGCAGAACGCCAGGGGCCGAGGAGGAGGGCCTGTCCTATGCCTGCCCTGCCTCTGGGTGATGTGGAGGAAACGTTTCACTCATGTTTTCAGGAGCTGGCTTTCAATTGGCTGGGTTTCCATAACAACCACTAAGTGGGAGACCCAGGTGTCCCAGGGCTGGTCCCTCCTGAGACCTTTGGGCGTGCAGATGGCCATCTGCTCCCCGTGTCCTCACATGTCCGTCCCTCTGTGTGTGTCGGTGTCTTCACCTCCTCTTCTTATAAGGACACAGTTCTAATGGGCCAGGGCCCACCTAGTAACCTCATGTTGTTACCTTAATCATTTCTTTATAGCCCCATCTCCAAATACAGTCACATTCTGAGGTCCTCGGGGAGAGGACCCCAACATACAAATTTGGAGAGGGCCATAATTAAGCCGATATAACACCCATCATCCGCTCGGAAAAGGCAGCGTATCACGTTACCCCAAATGTTTAAATAACACTCACCTAAACGATTCCACTTGAAAACTAGCAAAATCAGCACCAAGCACTTTTGTTTTGTTTTTTTAAATATATCTCAAATCATTTTTTGTTAAACATTGGCCTCCAGACATAAGAAGAAAGTGTAGACGAATCTCATTTTTCTCTGGCTGTGATTCCTGCGTACAGTGATGCGTTTCCATCCCAGTCTGCTCCCGCGGGAGGCGGGGTTTTCTTGTCGCGGCCCAGACGGTGCATGCGCACACAGGCTGAGTTCCCCCAACCCCCCCAACCTCCCAGGGGGGCTGTGCATTCAAGGAACCTAAGTCACCACGTGCTCTGGGGGCTCTAGCTGGGCGCCCTCAGCCCCTTCCTTGCGAGACGTCACTGAGACCTCGTGGGCCTTTTGTCACCTTGCATTTCACGCGCTGCTTCCGTCCTGCAGGCGGAGGGCGCTACCGACCCCACTCCAATGGATACGGTCACGGTAAATGCGCGGTGTCGTGAACGCTGCGCGCGCGCAGGCTCTCCTTCCGGAGCACTAACAGCTGCGTGGGCGCTGGCGGGCCGCTTGTCCTGCGTGTCCTGCGTGTCCTGCGTGGTGACTAACTGGCCACCTGCGTCTCTGACGTGTGTCCTCATCGGTCACCAAAGACCGATTTGGTGTCATTGTGTGCGTGCATGTGTGCGTGCATGTGTGTGCCCATCTGCATGTGTGCAGGCATGTACACGCATGTGCATGTGGGGGTGTGTAAGTACGTGGCTGGGTGCACACGCGTGTACCTGTTATGTATGTGGGCACGTGCCCACACGGGCATCTCTGTGCCTGTTACATTTCGTGCATGCGCGCGCGCGTGTGTGTGTGTAGATTTGCACATGCATGTGTGTGTTTTGTGCACGTGTGCAGGTGGGTATGTGGCTTCTGTGCTCACATGCACACACACACAAATGCACAGGTGTTCACATGTGTATTGCACGTGTGTGTGCCTGTATGCATGTGCTTACACATGCACGTGTGGATGCCTGTGTGTCTTCACATGTGTGTGTACTTGTGCATGCAGGTGTGTGCATGCATGTGCGTGCAGGCAGGTGTGTAAGTGCATTGCAGCTCCACGCATGTGTGTAAAGCCCCTGACCCCTGACACGAGAGCTGCTTTCCTCCCCTCTCCCTTCACTGCCCCCCACGCAATATGTTGTGTAGACCCCGCCTTCCTCGCTCTGGCTGGCCGTATGTCCCGTGACAACGCGGATGTTTGTCTGCTCTGCTCGGCCCCATCCCCGTGCTGTGCCAGCAACGGGGGGCATTGGTACGCCCTGCCGAATGCACAAGTGACTCTGCGCTTTTCCTTTGCAGGTGCAGGCGGGTATACAACCTACGGCGACCCGCACGGTAATCAGTGGGTGCCCCCCCACTCCACCCCCACATTTAATAACAGCTTGTCCGCCCTGTGGGAAAGGCCAGTGTAGGCCTGTGTTACTGGCTCAACCCAAAGGCGCCCATTGTAGTGATGTATGTCTGTAAGGAAGCTTCTGAGCAAAGGGTCCCCCCTTCAGGGGGGGGATCAGGTCCGTGGGGCTCAGAGGGGGCTGGTTCTCAGGCTGGCAGGTGCCTTGTAGCTTTCAGAGCGGAGCTGGCGTTCTAGGATCTGTGACTCCCTTTTCTTTGACCGCTGCTAACCTGGAGCCAAGAAAGAGAGGAGAAAGGAGGTCTTGGGGACCCCTCCAGGGCCCCCCAAAGTGCACTGCCAGCTCCACGGGGTGGGTGAGGGCAGGAGTGCTTTTGTTATGTGTTGCTGGGAGGACGGTCCCAGCCTTTTAGCAATTTGGCCNCCGTGATTGTGGCAATGTACGCATGTCCAAACCCACAGAGAAATTTTTTTAGAAGGGTTTGTTTGAAGGAAACAGATGGCACAGAATGGGAAGTGAGGTGTCCCATGCCGCAGAGAAGGATGCTTTACAAGGGTTTTTGGGTTTTTTTGCTTTTTTATGCATTTGGAATTGAGGAGGAAACGGAAGGTTAGATGGAGGTGGGGAAAGCCAGGTGGGGATTGGATTACAGGACGGTTAAAAAGATTATGTGCTCTCTTGAGGGTGGTTCTTCTTCTGAGAGGTCTGAAAAAGGCATTTCGAAGGTGTGATAACCTAGATGCCCCCAAACAGTGGGTAGTGGGCAGGGCTGCTCCAGGCAAAGCTAAGCGTTTCATTAAAGAAGTTGTAAGCCTGGACATGAGGACCCGACATGACCCACCCAGGTAGGAATTTATGGTCAGACCACCCTGTGAGGCGACTTTTGGTCACTGGCTTAGTCCAGAGCTTTTTATTTCCACCCACAATCAGCATCCCCAATTCCATGCCTCTTTTCATCTTTATTTTTTATTTTTTTGTAATTATTGTAACCTGCAGCACTGCTCTCCTACAAGGTACCAACAGGAATTCCTCGTGGAAACTGTCACGTGCTCTGATATATTTCGGAAACGCTGACTTAAACGCATTGCCAGGGACTTTCCTCCTGTGGGACGCCAGCCATCCCGGACGATGAATTGGCAGAACCGGGGCAACTTATCCTCCCGGGGCGTGCGGAGCCAGGACCAAGGGTGGGGCGTGACCCTCTGTGACTCAGCTGTGACTCATGCATTCCAAAGCAAAGAAAAAAGAAAAGAAAAAAAAGACAAGAAGCCCCCCATGTTCCTGTTCACGCTTCGCTTACACCCAGCAGGGGCGGGCTGCCTCACCCAAAGCGTGCATTCGTTTTGGACGTGAGAACCTGGAGCGCTTCTGAACACAAGCAAGGAGCCCCCTGAACGCACACGCCAGGCGAAGAGGGAAAACCGAGCTGGTTAGAACTTAATGACGGACGTTGGACGCAAGAGCCAGCGGTCCTCGTCACGTCCCCTGCTGGCCCCAGCTTTCTGCGTGTATGTGTCTTGTGGGGCTAGAAGGGCCATTCAGACCAGCGGTGACAAATCTCTCCAATATGGGCTGTTTTCAAACATTCTGTCGTATTCATCCGAGGAAGGCCAGCCTTGGATGAGCAATGCTGAGAAACACCCTGCAGATGGAATGTCCCAGCCATTGCCCGACATTTACAGACAGTCGCTATGCGGCAGCAAGTCCCTTTAGGATGACCAGGTGGGGTTAGCCGGTGGTGCCGGCGTCTTGGAAACACACCCACAGGAGGCTGTCGACTTTGCACCTCATGCCTGCCCCTGACAGAGCCCCGATTTCGCCCTCTGATTCTCTCACCTGACCCCAGAGCCCGGTATTCATGTTGCTTTAAAAGCAGCCAGAACAGCGGCCGGCCGAGTGGCTCGGTTGGTGAAGAGCTTGCTCAAGAGTGCGAGCTCTGAGCAAC